AAAGAGTTGTGAGCCCGCGGCTAGCATACACCTGAACCATTGAGGGTCACACTTCTCGTGTAACATGGATCCTTGATAACAAGAAGCATAGATTAATATGTTAATATTTGCAAAGTTGGAGGTCAATATGATTGAGTCCAAGATTCGTGATTGTGGATCACGAGTCGGAATAAACGTAGAGAAAGAGATACATGCGGAATTTAGTGAACTTTCTAAATTGGGAAGTTTCCCGATTTAGCAGGTCCACTGAAGTGGAAGTTTCCAATTTTGGAAATTGGAAATTTCGAAGAGGCACTTGTATCGACGAGGACTTTGAGCTCGTCACAAATATAATTTTGTGGACGATCGTTTATTAGAAACGAGGCCGACGAGGGAATGGGCTTAATGCATCAGTGGGTCAAGCCCAATGACTTAAGCCCACAAGGGTTGAAAACCCTAAGTATAAATAGACCTCAAACAAGAGTTTGAGATCAGATTTTTTACACACCAAAACCCTAGCCGTTCAGCCCTAGCCGTCCAGCCTCTCGGCCGTTGCTGCCCCGCCGATCACCGCCGGAATCCGCCGGTTTTTCCTCTCCTTTCTCTATCGTTTTCCCTTGTTATCTAAACCCTTTGTATCTAGTGCTACAGTAGGGGGAGATCCGTTTATTCGAGGTGAAACCTAATTGGAGAGGAGCTGCTGCCCCGACGGAATCGCCACACCGCCGCTGCACCGCCGCACGCGCCGCCGCCGCCGACACGCACGCGCCGCCGTCGCCTCACCTTCGGACCAGCTGCCGTTCGGTGGTGTTCCTGCAGCCCCTAGGAGTGGTATAACGCAGCTTGTACGTGTTTAAGTTTGGATTTCGATTCGTCGAAATCTCACGCTACAAGAGGTAATTAAATCGAAACTTTCGTAATTCGATTCGAACATGTTTGTATGATTTTAATTTACGAGCATGAGTAATATGTGATTACGTATTTCGAATTTATTGAATGATGAACAAGCATGTTTTGTAATTTTCGGTTTTACGTATTTTTCAATTAAATCGATAATTACTATATGTATCGCGGAAGCGTTAAGGTACGTTGACTATGTGATTAGTTTATGCATGTAATCGAAGCTAGTTCGATATAAAAAATTTAAATTCCGCTGCGTATACATGCACGATCCCCAACACGAATGCGACGCCAGTTTCACCGAATTAAAGGCTCGACTCACATCGGCACCAATCCTGGCACTACCAGAGAAAGTCGGAGAATTCATAGTCTATAGTGAGGCCTCGAAATTAGGTCTCGGCGCCGTCCTTATGCAAAATGGAAAAGTCATTTCCTATGCCTCACGACAACTCAAGGAGTACGAACGCAATTATCCAACGCACGATCTCGAATTAGCCGCCGTCATTTTCGCACTCAAGATCTGGCGACACTACCTTTATGGTGAAAAGTGTACCATCTACAATCACAAGAGCCTGAAGTATTTCTTCACTCATAAGGACTTGAACATGAGGCAACGAAGATGGCTCGAACGAGTCAAGGATTACGACTGCGAGATACTCTACCACCCCGACAAAGCAAATGTGGTCGCCGACGCACTTAGCCGCAAATCGATCAACGCTCTCACAGTCCAACCTAACTTGGGAGGATCAATCAAATCAGCCCAACAAAATGATCCACAAATTCTCAAATTTGCAATAACCTCGAATCCAATCCAAACTTCTGAATCACCGAAGAAGGTTTCGTTCGATTCCAAAATTGCATCTACGTCCCCGAATGATCCAAATGTTCGCCGACTAATCTTAACCGAAACTCACCAAACCACGTATACTTGCCACCCCGGAGAAACGAAGATGTACCAAGATCTCAAAAAGCTCTACTGGTGGCCTGGAATGAAGAAAGACGTGGCCCGATTCGTCGTCGAATGCCTAGTGTGCCAACAAGTCAAAACGGAACATCAAAGGTCCGGAGGCCTACTTCAATCGAACCTAATTCCGGAATGGAAATGGGAAGATATCACAATGGGACTTCGTGCAAAGATTTCCGAAGACCCAAAGGGGATCTGACGCCATTTGGGTGATCGTTGACCGACTGACTAAAACGGCTTACTTTCTTCCGATCCAAATGACCTTCAATTTAGAGAAGCTAGCCGAACTATACGTCCGTGAGATTGTCCGACTTCACGGCATCCCCGTCTCCATTTTTCCCACCGAAACCCTCGTAATGCGATTAAACTTTAGCACCGCCTATCACCCCCAAACCGATGGCCTATCCAAACGAACTATCAAAGCCCTAGAAGATCTTCTCCGCGCTTGTATTCTCGACTTTGGAGGAAATTGGGAATCCCGTCTACCACTAATTGAATTCGCGTACAACAATAGCTTTCACTCTTCAATTGGAATGGCACCCTACGAAGCTCTTTACGGCCGCAAGTGTAGGTTCCCTCTTCATTGGGACGAAATTGGCAAAAGAAAATTCCTTGGTCCCGACCTAGTCCAACAAACCGTCGATATAATAAAAAATATTCGAGAGAAAATGCGAATCGCCCAAGATCGGCAACAAAGCTATGCCAACACTCGGAGGAGAGATCTCGAATTCGAAGTCGGAGACTCCGTATTCTTAAAAGTGGCGCCTTTCAAAGGAATTATGCAATTTGTGAAAAAGGGAAAATTAGCACCGCGATTTATTGGCCCATTCGAAATTCTCGACAAAGTTGGTACTCGAGCCTACCAACTAGCCTTACCACCCAATTTATCCAACTTTCACAATGTCTTTCACGTTTCAATGCTTCGTACATTCGCAGTCCAGACCACGTATTGAAAACCGAACCGATCGAACTAAACCCTAATCTTTCCTACGAAGAGAAACCTTCCCAAATACTTGATTCTAAAACCAAAAACCTTCGAAACCGAAACCTAAAATTCATTAAAATCCCCTGGCAAAACCATACACCCAAAGAAGCCACGTGGGAACGAGAAGAAGAAATGCGCGAACGTTACCCCGAGTTGTTCAGGTAATAATTTTGGGGACATAATTTCTTTGGGGGGGGGGGGGGGGGGCGGGCATTGTAACAAACCACCTTTCCCAAAACCCAAAAACCCTAAAACCCGAACTTAAAATTTATAACTCGAGAATCCTTAGGTAATATTATTACGTGATATTAATTATATGCATTACGTCAATCTAATTATGTGACTTACGTGAATAATTCCATGCGTTATTTAATTATTTGGAATGTGGTGATTTCATGATATTTATTTTGTGAAATTCGTGAGTAGATATATATGTGTGAATTATATGATTTAGTATCATTTTCGTGAATTGAAATTCTAGGAATTTCGTGAATTATGTGACTTATGTGAATTATAAACATAATACAATAGTATGATTATATATATTAAGTATATATATATAGGGATCTGCCTTTTATTTTTACTACCTTTTATATATATGCATACGTATATATATATATATACATAATTGAGTATATATATAGGTATATATATATATATACTCAATTACGAGGGTGTTTGGCTAAGCTTATATGATGTTAAATGGAGCTTATAAGATGTTTTAGAGCTTATAAGCTCTTTCAAAGTGTTTGGTATTTTTTTAGGAAAAGATCTTATTTTTTCTTAAAATAAGTTGTTGGAGAGCAAATAAGATCTTTTTAAATAAGTACCTCTACCCCACCTTTTTATTTAAGATCTTTTAATGAGTAAAAATAGGAAATAAGCCCATTATCCAAACACTCTAAAAATTAATCCTAAAAATAAGATGTAACAGCTTATCAGCTCTTAAAACATCTTATCAGACGTAAGAGCTTATCAGTTGTTTAAAATAATGATACAAATTATTATTTAATATATTATTTAATTATTAGTTTAGTTAGTAGTTAATTATTAATTATATAAAATAGTATATTTAGGATATATATTATAGCCGTCTGTTTAGTAATTAGAAGATTATTAAGTATTTAATTAGTATAGGTAATTATCTTTTCTAGTTAGATTAGGATTCTAGGGTTTTATTATCTTTAAATAGTCGTCTTGTGCTAGGGTTTTATAATGAAGAAAAATAATAAAGAAGAGTTTTCTTACGTTCAGTAAAGAAATCTTATGATACACAAGAGATCGTATCAGATAAGCCCTTTTTCTTTACTGCTTTTTCTTTTCCACTTTTTTTTGGCCCATTTGATGATGAAACTGGGTCGTTTCAATCTGTCGGTCCAATCACGTGTTACAATTCTTTTCTTTTTCCTTTAGTTCTCAAGCTGCTCGACCACGACATGCGTGCTTGACTTTATTTTTCTTTCACCTTTTCTTATATTCTGCTTCCTGCGGAACGACGCCGTTTAGAAGCATGACCTCAAATCTGGCCAACCATTGTTGACCACCGCCGTAGCCGCCGCCGCCGTCGCCGCCTTGGTGTGTCGCAATCCTTGTTTTTTTTTTCTTTTCTTTTATGCTTTCGTTTTCCTTTGTTTTTGGGCCGCCTACAATTATTGACGGCGAGGGAATCTCCATGGCTGCAATCATCACATTATTCCTTTATCTTTGCTTCTATCCTCCAACAAGTTCCGAGGTTGCCCCATCGTCTGCTGCGTGTACTTCTTATCTCCTGAATTGCTGCTTTTGAGATGACAGCACCACATGTGGATATGGCTTGCACAAATTTTACCTCTTTACCAAATCCCTCTTCCTCTCCATTTCTCACCGCAATTCCTCTCTATTTGAATCTCGTTCTTTTTCCCCTTTCTCTTCTCCTCCTTCTGCCGCCGCACCGCCACCGCTGCTGACCGCCGCTTTCATTGATTTCGGCGACCCTCTTCCAACCATACATATGAGGCTGCAACTTTCTTTTCCCCTGCCCCTGCCCCTGCCCCATCTCTCTTTGGAGATCGCTCACCCTTTCCCCCTTTGTTGAGGTACCAATCCATGAATTTATAAACATATGATTGATGATAAACATGAATGTTATTTAAGTTTGTTTACTTATATATGTTATATTTGATTTGTTTAGAGAAATTTGTGGTTGATCATGAATCTGCATCTATAGACTATATGTCTGTTTGTTAGAATTTCAGAATTTTAATATGTGGAGCTTTGTTGGACGTGGTCGGTCAAAGCGCTCAGACTGAATTCGAGGACCTTCAGATTGCCGTTCTCGTCCAGGAGAAGATTCTCCGGCTTCGAATCGCGGTGGGAGATGCCGCGGAGGTGGCAGTAGCTGACGGCGGAGATCAGCTGCTGGAAGTACTTCCGGCTGAGATCCTCGCTGAACCGGCCCTTGACCACCTTCGCGAACAGCTCGCCGCCCTTGACGAATTCCAGTACGAAATAAATCTTCGTCCTGGTGGCGAGAACCTCAAACAATTTGACGATGTAAGGGTGGCGCAGCCAGCTCATGGTCGAAATCTCGCGTTTTATGTGCGCCATTAGATTAACATTGTTGTTGAGCTTGCTCTTGCTCACCACTTTCACGGCGACGCTCCGGCCGTTAGAAATATCCCTAGCGTGGTACACTTTCGCGAACACGCCGCAGCCTAGAAGCTTCCCGATCTCGTACTTTCTGAACAACGCATTCTCCGCCGATAAAGCCATGTTTGCGGCGGAAGACGGCGGCGACTAGGGACCGGAAACCAAAAACTCGTCATTTCCCGGCATCAGGTGCGCAATAATTCAGAGACCGGGAAAAAACAATTTCGATTTTTTTCTTTTTGGTGAAGATTAGGTTTTAGAAAAGGGATTGGGTGTAAGGTTCTATTCTACAGCTAATAATAGTTGGGCGGGGGATGAATTGTGTCCGATATTGCAGTAAGTGGGGGAGAAAGAGTATGAATGGATATCGGACCACTATTTAGTCTTGCTTGAGAAAATATCGGGTAACAAGTTTCAAACTTCTGCCTACTTTTATCAATAACAATATTTTTGTTCGTTGTTTTTCAATCATATCTTGCCTTCATTGAACAAAGAAGTAAATTTTCTTTATTGCTAACGGTTTTGACTCTTATTGAATTGTTCAAATGTATAAAGGCATATGTTGATCAGCATATATAAATTGAATTTCTTTTTGTAGGACATTTCAGCATATTTTTTTTGTCTTTAGCTCTCCTCGTCCAGATATTTAATTGGTAAATATGCTTGCTTAGTTACCTCTTATTGTTAATCGATGCAGAAATTATTGAATTTGCTCGACCGGCTGTTACTGGCAATTGCTTACCTACGCGGCTACACTCCAACTTTATTCAAACCAAATTTGGTGTGAGGGAGGACTATTTGGCAAGTTTTCATCTATTTTCGTCTTTTCGAATGTAAAATTAAAGTAATCATACTGACGGTTGTTTATTCGCTCTCCGTAGTGGCAGATGGTAGATCATCAATGCAGAATTTTGGGTTGTTCTTTCTTTAAGGCTGTTTATAGCCTGTGTTTGCATTTTTCGTGATGCGCAGAAGGTGGTTAAGGATTCGTCGAGAGATTCTAATGGAGTTCGCCGGAATGCTTTGGTGCTATCCGGAAGCAAAAGACCGTCGTCGGGGTCTTTTTGGAGCAGTGATGATCGTCGATTTAGCAATGCCAAAAGGTGATTGTTGCTTTCACCTTTCTACTGGTCTTTGATTTCAATTTACTTTCTAGCTTATGCATTTGTATAAGTGGAAATTACCAATTTTTGTTTGTATGATTTGTTGATTCAGAATGAGAGTGGGTGTGTTCTGCGGGTGTTTGCATTTTTCCTGATGCGCAGAAGGTGGTGAAGGATTCGTCTAGAGATTCTAATGGAGTTCGCCGGAATGCTTTGGTGCTATCCGGAAGCAAAAGACCGTCGTCGGAGTCTTTTCGGAGCAGTGATGATCGTCGATTTAGCAATGCCAATTCTTCCTCATGCTCTTCGTCATATGTTCTCCATCTGTTTTCCCCCAGCCATTTCTCCGCCTACAATCGGAAAATTCCAGTTAACTAATTTTTGCAAGCCTAGGTTGATTCGCGTGCTCGTCTACGGTTGCGAGTACAGAAACCTCTGTATTAATGAGTCAACTCAGCCGTAGAAGCAATTGATTGAGAAATTTATAAAATGGCGAAGCCTCAAGTAACTATCACTCTCGGCCGCTCCGGTCAGGTACCCATGTAAATCTGCCCCTTTTTGTTTTCGTTATCCATGACTGTGGACTGCTTAATTTTGCAATCCTGTATTAATTACTTTTCATCTCAAACGAGATTTCCGCTCGTCGTCGTTTTGATAATTAAGCTAATTCTGCGGGTGTTTGCATTTTTCGTGATGCGCAGAAGGTGGTGAAGGATTCGTCGAGAGATTCTAATGTAGTTCGCCGGAATGCTTTGGTGCTATCCGGAGGCAAAAGACCGTCGTCGGAGTCTTTTCGGAGCAGTGATGTTCGTCGATTTAGCAATGCCAAAAGGTGATTGTTGCTTTCACCTTTCTACTGGTATTTGATTTCATTTTACTTTCTAGCTTATGCATTTGTATAAGTGAAATTAGCAATTTCTGTTTGTATGATTTGTTGATTCAGAATGAGAGTGGGTGTGTTCTGCGGGTGTTTGCATTTTTCGTGATGCGCAGAAGGTGGTGAAGGATTCGTCGAGAGATTCTAATGGAGTTCGCCGGAATGCTTTGGTGCTATCCGGAAGCAAAAGACCGTCGTCGGAGTCTTTTCGGAGCAGTGATGATCGTCGATTTTGCAATGCCAAAAGGTGATTGTTGCTTTCACCTTTCTACTGGTATTTTATTTCAATTTACTTTCTAGCTTGTGCATTTGTATAAGTGGAAATTAGCAATTTTTTTTTTATGATTTGTTGATTCAGAATGAGAGTGGGTGTGAGTGCACGGAGCTACGGGTACAACAGCCGTTTAGATGGTAATAGTTAATTTCGTAAAATAGATGCTCTCTCGTGTAGCTATTTTCGTCTCTTTTTAATCATAAATTTCATGGTGTATTTAAACTTTATTGCTGTAGATTGAACAGATCTTCGCCTGAAACTAACACGCAAGAGAATGTCAAAGCATATAGAGCTCGAAAACGAGAGGCGTAAAAAGATGGAACTACATGACAAGGCATCAAGAGCTACACCACCTTCTAGAAGGGCTGCTGAAACACAACCGATAGGTTCAACGATTAAAAATTCTTATGCTTCATGGAATTCAAATGCAGCGAAAACGAGATCCCCCGAAAGAATTCCGAAATATTCTGGTGGATTTTCTAACAACCCCATGAATTCTATTGGTCAACTGCCTCATGTACCATCAATTAGGCCGATAGATGCTTCAAGAGAAGAGCATTTGTCGATGAGGGATGCCTTGGAATCTTCTAGGCCAGATTTACCTATATTCACCACTCCGAGAGGTTTTCTGGATAATGGCAAGATGGTCACCGATCTTCCTCCAGCAACAGGTGGCATGTCCAGACCTATTTACCAGGTAAAAATCTACTTTATCTCATATTTCGTTTACCTCGACTCCTCTGTTTTTGTTTAGCTCTGTTTTGGTGATTTTTTCCTTATTTTAAGATCATGCATTGTTGAAGCAGGTGAAAGCGATGAGGCAACTACAACTTAGAAAATTGAGGCGTGTGGCAAACAAGCAAATGTGCCGCAAACCTCTGTTGCTGAATTTATGGTTTGTGTTTCGTTTGCACAATTTTTCTTTTTACCTTTAATCAAATGAGGTCTGGTATCGATTGTTTAATTTATGCTACGATTCTCGACTGGAATTTCAACTAATGAATGTAAACACTTTCATTGCAGATCTGCTTGGGGGGTCTCGTGTGCTCATCATATTACTAAGTTAACCCCATTTTACATAGTCTGGTAAAACATATTAGAATTCAGCTATGCTCTATGATTCCATGTTCTCTTCTGTATCAAAAAATGATGCTTGTTTATTTAGTACAGGTTGATACTTTTGAAATTTTCTTATTAGTTTCAAGTGTATCATGTTGTATTACTGTTATTATTAGCTGCAACAATAAAAGGTTTCTGATAGTTATGTGAGTATTAGTTTCTCTGATTTTAAGCACATTAAAAGTGACATCTTAGCTAGGTTAATCTCATTTTACACTTCTATTTCTATAATAAAATATAACGACTTCACTAATTTGTTTAGGTATGTAGTTGTTTTCTTTATTTATTAATATGATATGACTATATATATACCTAGCCTCTTTTGTCAGTGTTGCGACTCTAATCTATAAATTCATTATTTTGTTTTTCAATTTTGCATTGTTTTCTCTGGGAATCCGAGTTTCAAACATGTACATGAGTTGGGTTATCTATGTATAAGTTTGATTATATTGGTTTATAGGTGGTAATCTGGGTACATGTGGTTGCCTTTTATTATGATTTTTCAGAATCGTTGCCTTTGCTTCTAGGTTTATCAGTTCTGTTCTTTTTCTGTGTTTACATTTATTACAGAAATATTCATTTTTTATTAAATCGTTTCCTTCCATAATTTGGTTTTAATTTCTGATAACGGCATTATGCGCAGGCCTTTGTGTGAGCATCATTATTCAATCACTCAACAATTCGTGCGGGGGTGTTCTTCACGGGGCGCACAAAGCCGGAGAAGTATTTGCGGATGAAGAAGAAAATATCTGATTTAACACAGGAAAAATTTATCGTCGTCCTCATCTTCCACCTCCAATCTTTTTAAATCCCACAGTTACTTTCGCATGTTGCTTTATGCAGATAATAATTGATTTCAGTTATGATTTCAGAACGCATTTTCCGTAAGCATGATGCTCTTTTGTTTTTATTGCATGCCACACATCCAATTAAAAGCAGGCAATTAATAGCTTCAAGCAATAGGACCGTGAAAGAATGAGCCCTAAAATGGGGAAAATTGACATTCATTATCAGGTTCTTTTACGATTCATTATCAGGCTTTAACCATTTGCATTTGTTTTCTTGTTGTTCGTCTGTTTTCCAAATTTGGAACTAATATTTCTATTTTGACTTTAATAGGGTCAGCCATGATGCCTCCTTAATGCATCATTCTAAACTTACATTGCCAGCTCAAGGTGATCTTACGAGGGAAAGTATTTTTAAGTGCATCGTTGATATTTCCTCGAAAGTGTTCTTCTATTTGGTTTATTGTTTTTTGTTTATTGTTTGGTACAAATTGCTATAGATGGGTGGTTCTTTTGACGCTAATATGCTGGATTTTTTTTATAGGCTCCGTTGTTTCAATTCTTGATAATTTGGAACCATTGCTCCTAATCAAAACGACTGTTAGATTTCTTAGGGCCTCGTTTGGGAACATTCGATAGAGCTTCATTATATTGTCTATCATGCCTAATCATGATTGCCAAGCAAGGCTTAAGAGTACAAAATCATCATTTTTGTTAATCCTTGCAGCTAAAAGAAAAGTTGGAGAAACGTCGATTAATGAAATCAGCTCGAGATCCCACAAAATTATTACATTGGTATATTGTGATTTTATTTAATTTATTGTTTATTTATTCGATAACTTTTGTCGCAGACTATTGAAAGCTGTTCTCGTGACTTTTTTGGAAGGGACAATGCGAGCACTCTTACAACTGCTGTGGTGTGAAATTTATCTAACAACAAAAAAATAAAGGTATAGCATTATTTAATGTTTTCTAATGGGAGAGTAATTTATTGACAGAATTTTGTCGATTTGGCTGCAAGTGAACGAGCATCTTAATCGTTATCAGCAGGCACAAGGTTAAAAGAAGGCTGTCGTATTAACCGAATAGAATATTCTGTTTATTTGTTATATGTTGATTGGGAAGAAGATTATTTCTTAGGCTGCAACTTTGCTGAAATGTGTTGTCCATTATTTATAGGTACTGATATCATCAATCAAAAACATAGTGTTGAAGAACTGAAAACAATTTATTTTCTCTCTGTTTTCGACAATATAATTTTTGCAGTGAAAAATCAATATTTGCATACTATAATTTCTGTTTCGTAAATCGTATTACTCTAAAAACAGTTGGGACTGTGCTATTTATGCTCACTGTTACGCGCAGCTTTCCGATTGTCGACTTCGGCAATGCTTCGATTGCTTCTTCGGGTTTCGGAAATTTGTTCTGATGAATGATGATGGTAGGAGTTTATATATTGGGACACGTTTGTTTGTTTTTAATTTTTGTATATACTGATGTGTGTTCCGTGTAGGTGGATTTGGTCATAGAGACTGACAAGAAATGCGAAGAACTCATTTTCGATTTTCTCAAACTACAGTTTTGGATTTCTCGGTACCGTTTTTATTTTTATTACGACTTTTTTATTACGACTTTTTTCTGACAACATAAAATACGAAAAGGAAAAACAAAAAAAAAAAAAATTTAAAAATTGGAGTTTTGTAGTTATTTTGGATTTTAGGTGGACAGATTAATAAAAATTGGCGTGCTTTTGCATTAGCCCTTTGGAAATAGCGGACTCGCCCCTAACACTACGTACAATAATACTCAGATAAATAATAGTGAATAAATTAACAGCTAAATTTTTATGTAAAATTTATGTAATTCGGTTATTTACCGAACCAAATTGTATATTTTGTTCGGTAAACGGTATGAAATGTTGGGTACCAAAATTTTGGTCCGGTTTTACCGAATTAACATCCTTAAATTTACCTATGGAGGGGTCTTTTCGTAAGATAAATACATAGTTGAGGGGTGGCTGTAATTACCCAAATAGGAGGGGGGTTTTCGTCAAATGTTAGGGCTGATTCAAGAATTAAAGGAAAATGTAACGAAACAATGAGTACAACAATCAATATTTCAGAAATTACTGGTGGTAATATAATAATAAAAAAACTTATCAGGGGTGGAACTATAACTAATCAAAAATATTAGGGCTAATTTTGTCATTAAAGGAAAATGGGAGGAAAAAATGGGTGCTTAGAGCAATATCTAAAAAATTGACATGTGTATAATATAATAATAGGAAGGCCTTGGAAGGGGTGGTAATATAATTATCAGGAAAAAGTGGGTGCAGCAATCGGTATTTAAAAATTATTGTAGGATAATATAATAATAAAAATGTTTTATCAGGAGTTGAAATGAACTTACCCAAAAATGTTATGGATTATTTTATAATTAAAGGAAAATCGGAGGAAATAATTTGTGCAGAAAACAATATTTTGTTTATGGACCAAAATAAAAAAATGGGATATAATATAGGGACCAAAATAGTAATTATAACACGTTAATTATAAATAATATAATAAATTATTGTTTTCTTAAATCGTAAATCGTAAAATTTGATCGCTTTGTCGATATGTAAGATTTATTTTAACATTTGAATCGACTTAAGTATGAATAATTGAATCAAAAGATTTGAATCGTAAATTATAAGATTTTAAACTCGGTATTGCGAATTTTCGTAAACGAGTCACACGCGATTATAGTTGAGGAGTCGAAGCATACTGCCTTGGTGGCAAATATTTCGGATATTGTAAGAGAGATCCACTTTAGTGTTAAATTTGCTATTTGGGTAAAACGACTGGGAAAATGGAATAGGTATAGAGGTGATTCTGCAATTTTCAAAATTGTTTCAGTCAAGGAAGTGGATTTCCAGAAATTACAAATTGACCCCCTCTTGGGGTGCATTTCTTGTTTAAGAACAAAAATAAAATAAAAACAAAAAAACCAAAAAAAAAAACCATGTAGGTAATATAGGGACCAAAAATCGTAAACTTTGATCGATTAGCCGATATTTAAGATTTATTTTAACATTTGAATTGACTTAGATATGAATGAATTGAATCGTAAGATTTGAATCATAAATCATAAGATTTTATGCTCGATATTGTGAATTTTCGTAAATGTGGCGGATATTGAAATAGGGATCCACTTTGGGGTCAAATTTGCAATTTGGGTGGAGCGGCTAGGAAGATGGAGTAAGTATAGGGGTGATTCTACAATTTCCAAAGCTATTTCAGCCAGGGAGGTGGATTTTCAAATATACAAATTGACCTCCACTTGGGGGCATTTCTGGTTGAAGGACCTAAATTAAAATTTGTATATAAATAGGGATCAAATATGTAACTATTGCAAGTTTATTATAAATAATATAATAAATTAAAGTTTTTTTAAATTGTAATTCGTAAAATTTGATCATTTTGTTGATATTTAAAATTTATTTAACTTTTGAATCGACTTAAGTATGAACAGACTGAATCGTAAATCATAAGATTTTAAACTCGATATTACGAATTTTCATAAATGAGTCACACACGATTATAATTGAGGAGGAGTCGAAGCATGCGTTGGTGGCGGATATTGCAAGAGATATCCAATTTGGGGTCAAATTTGCAATTTGGGTAAGGCGGCTGGGAAGATGGAGTAAGTATGTGAGTGATTCTGCAATTTTCAAAATTGTTTTAGCCAGGGAGATGGACTTCCAAAAATTACATGACCCCCACTTGGGGTTCAATTTTGGTTTAAGGATCAAAATTATATAAAAAAAATGTATAATAATATAGGGACCAAAAATCGTAAAATTTGATCAATTTGTTGATAATTAAGATTTATTTGAACATTTGAATTGACATAGATATGAATGAATTGAATCGTAAGATTTGAATCGTAAATGATAAGATTGTATGCTCGTTATTGCGAGTTTTAGTAAATGTGGCGAATATTTTGGATAGTGAAAGAGAGATCCACTCTTTGGAGTCAAATAAGCAATTTGGGTGTAGCGGTTAGGAAGATGGAGTATGTATAGGGTTGATTCTGCAATCTTCACAACTATTTTCAGCCTGGGATGTGGATTTTCGGAAATTACAAATTAACCTCCACTTGGGGGCATTTCGGGTTTAAGGACAAAAAATATAAATGGTATATAATATAGAGATCAAAACTGTCATCATCACAAGTTTATTAAAATTAATATAATAAATTAAAGTTTTCTTATATCTTAAATTGTAATTTGATCGTTTTGTTGATATTTAAGATTTATTTTAACATCTCCTAACCGCTACACCCAAATTGCATATTTGACTCTAAAGAGTGGATCTCTCTTTCACTATCCAAAATATCCGTCACATCTACTAAAATTCGGAATAACGAGCATACAATCTTATGATTTACGATTCAAATCTTACGATTCAATTCATTCATATCTATGTTGATTCAAATGTTCAAATAAATCTTATCTATCAACAAATTGATCAAATTTTACAATTTTTGGTCCCTATATTATTATACCTTTTTAAAAAAAAAAATTTGATCCTTATACCAAAAATGAACCCCAAGTGGGGGTCAATTTGTAGTTTTTGGAAGTCTACCTCCCGGGCTGAAACAATTTTGAAAATTGCGGAATCACTTATATACTTACTCCATCTTCCCAGCCGCACTACCCAAATTGCAAATTTGACCCCAAATTGGATCTCTCTTACAATATCCGCCACCAACGCAGTATGCTTCGACTCCTTCTCAGTTATAATCGTGTGTGACTCATTTAAAAAAATTCGCAATACCAAGTTTAAAATCTTATGATTTGCGATTCAAATCTTACGATTCAGTCTGTTCATACTTAAGTCGATTTAAAAGTTAAAATAAATTTTAAATATCAACAAAACGATCAGATTTTACAAATTACAATTTAAGAAAATTTTAATTTATTATATTATTATAATAAACTTGCGATAATTACATATTTGATCCCTATATTATATACCATTTATACTTTTGGTCTTTAAACCGGAAATGCCCCCCAAGTGGAGGTTAATTTGTAATTTCCGAAAATCTACCTCCCTGGCTGAAATAGTTGTGAAGATTGCAAAATCAACCCTATACTTACTCAATCTTCCTAACCGCTACACCCAAATTGCATATTTGACTCCAAAAAGTGGATCTCTCTTTCACTATCCAAAATATCCGCTACATCTACTAAAATTCGCAATAACAAGCATACAATCTTATGATTTACGATTCAAATCTTAAGATTCAATTCATTCATATCTATGTTTCCTTAAACAAGAAATGCACCCCAAGTGGGGGTCAATTTGTAATTTCTGGAAATCCACTTCCTTGACTGAAACAGTTTTGGAAATTGCAGAATCACCGCTATACTTATTCCATTTTCCCAGTCGTTTCACCCAAATAGCAAATTTAATACCAAAGTGGATCTCTCTTGCAATATCCGAAATATCTGCCACCAACGCAGTATGCTTCGACTCCTCAACTATAATCGCGGGTGACTCATTTACGAAAATTCGCAATACCGAGTTTAAAATCATATGATTTACGATTCAAATCTTACGATTTAATTATTCATACTTAAGCACTTAAGCCGATTCAAATGTTAAAATAAATCTTAAATATCAACAAAACGATCAAATTTTACGATTTCCGATTTAAGAAAACAATAATTTATTATATTATTTATAATTAACGTGTTATAATTACTATTTTGGTCCCTATATTATATCTCATTTTTAGTTTTGGTCCTAAAATCGAAAATGCCCCCAAGTGGAGGTTAATTGGTAATTTCCGAAAATCCACCTCCCTGGCCGAAACATTTTTTAAAATTCCAGAATCACCCCTATACTTACTTCATCTTCCCAGCCTCTCCACACAAATTGTATATTTAAACCCAAAGTCGATCTCTCTTGCAATATCTTAAATATCCGCCACCAACACAGTATGTTTCAAGTCCTCCTCAGCTATAATCGCATGTGACTCATTTACGAAAATTCGCATTACCGAGTTTAGGATCTTATGATTTACGATTCAAATCTTACGATTCAATTTATTCATACCTAAGTCGATTCAAATATTAAAATAAATCATAAATATCGACAAAACGATCAATTGTACAATTTGCAATTGAAGAAAACTTTAATTTACTATATTATTTATAATAAACATGTTATAATTACAGATTTGGTCCATATATTATATACCATTTTTAATATCGGTCTTTCAACCGGAAATGCCCCCAAGTGGAGGTCAATTTGTAATTTCCGAAAATCCACCTCCCTCGCTGAAATAGTTGTGAAAATTGCACAATCAACCCTATACTTACTCCATCTCCCTAGCTGCTCCACCCAAATTGCAAATTTGACCCCAAAGAGTGGATCTCTCTTTCAATATCCAAAATATCCGCCACATCTACGAAAATTCGCAATAACGAGCATACAATCTTATGATTTACGATTCAATTCATTCTTATCTATGCCGATTCAAATGTTAAAATAAATCTTAAATATCAACTAATCGATCAAATTTTACGATTTTTGGTCCCTATA